GCCGGCCCAGCCTTAAACGGTGACAGGCTAACTTTGTCTAACTGGGATGCCCACAGCATCGGTGCCATTGCCTGTGCTAGTCACGCCGTGCCCCAACGTAGTCCATAAGAAGGAAGAAATATATTGGTAGTTTTTAACGAAACGCGCTCGACAGCTACTGAAATGTAGGCACCTTCATGCCTTGGTTTGCAAGGCATCCTGCCATCTCGTACCACTGCTCTGACCCACTGCCATTTTTATGAGAGAAAGTTAAAAAATCACATTGTAGACACTTCTAAATAAGCACGACGTCTTTGAATCAGACCGCAGTCCCAAGTTGTTAACTGAATTGTAACTGTGTGTTGAAATGTGACTAGGGTTCATAGTTTCACACCTGCTTTGAAATGAGATAAACAACACGCCCCTAAATTTTTACAACAGCAGAGTGAAAGGAAATTGGTTGGAAAGTTGCAACTGTCAAAACCTTGCACTATCTGCTCTTTTCTGCTCTTGGCTTGTCCCGCTACTGAGTGGGCTCAGAGGGCAGCGGTTTCTTGTGCAGGAGCTGAGCGACCATTTTTCTGCTTCATAATTATTTGCAGGTTAATAATTAGTTCATTGGTTTGCTCTATAAGCAAGACTAGATCCTCCTGAGATGGATGTGGCAAGGCTCTCATGTTACTGTCCCATGGACCTTTGCCGTAGACATCTCCACGATCCCCTCCACAGAGGAGGCTGGTTTCTCACGGTTCCAGCGATACACGCTTGTCCTGCTAGGAAGGACGGAAGGAGAGAGCACTTTTAGCCAGGATGAGAATGAGAAGTGCATGGTGATATCTCTGCGAGTCAGTGAAAAATCTGCAGGAAAACGTCCTCAGAATAAAAGATCCACTTGTAAGACTGCTTAGTGATGTGATTTCAGTAGCTCTGCTGTATTGCTTACTGCCCAGTAAAAAAAATCAAGACGTAGTACTTACTACTGTCGTTAAACATCGCTTTTCTTTCAGGTATTAGCAATGCAGAAGCCCGTCAACCAGGGAAAGCACCAAACTTCAGTGTGAACTGGACAGTGGGAGACACTGGTCTTGAAGTTATTAATGCGACAACTGGCAAAGATGAAATGGGTCGTGCATCTCGCCTTTGTAAGCATGCTTTTTACAGCCGCTGGATGCGTATTCATGCAAAGGTATATCTTCCAGAGTGCTAGATTTTCCACTACTTCTTCATTCTTAAGGAACTGTCTGTGCATGCTGCTTTCTGCATTCAGAAGCCACTTTCTGAGCCAGACATCAGCTACTGCTCCATGTAGTAATGGAAAAGAACAACATGTTTGTTTGTTTATTCTTTAATTTGATGATGTCTGGTCCAAAATGCATGCAAGGGTTTAATAATCCTTGGTTTATAGCTAAGTAAACAAAGGGTGCTATCCCCTTGAGCTTGCCTTCTCATTTTAATTTATTTGGAAGGATAATCCCAGTTTCACTGCATTTGAACCTACTGAGGTTTCTCTGTGCTCTTAGGAAGAAAAGCTACGAGAAGGTATCTGTCAGTGGCTTTTTATTGTCTAGATTTCTTCCACTGAAGGAAATTGATAATCCAGAGAAAGCAAAAGGCAGGCTAGTTGGGATGAGACCAGTCCCGAGCGTGCCTCTGCCATGGCGTGGCGCGGCACTGTGGAAGGGCTTGCTTTGCAAGGGACAAACGTTGCAGCTGGTGCGGTGAAGCTGGGTGCAGAGCCGTGATGGCTGGAAGGAGCGGTACTGTGTACTCATCTGCCTTTGCCTGAACATTTGGTTTAATAGTTCATTATGTTGTTTTAATAATAGTTGTTTTAATAACTCAGTCACTCTCAAACTGTTTGGCTTAATAGTTTCTTGTCTCTCTTCTTTTCTCGTCTTTAATCCACACAGCTTTCCTCCAGCTTGCGCTCGAAGGTCCTCAAGCCTAACCTGTACCACGAAACCAAGCAAGGAGCCACTGAGTATCAAACTGCCAAAGAGTGTTTGTTTAAAGCGTTCCTGAAGGCAGGACTTGGAGCCTGGGTGGAGAAGCCCATAGAACAGGATCAGTTTTCTCTCACTGTCTGATTCACAGACTGCACATCACTTTGGAAAGGGGGTTGTTCTGGAAATTCCTGGTGTCCAGCATTGCTTTCTGGCATCTCCACAGCCATCAAAACATCTTTTTATTGTTTGGAGTTGGGTTTTTTCCTTTGTTTTTTGAAACTTCATAGTAACTGTTTCTGTTTTGCCGAAGTATTGAAACTCAATGATGGTCTGACACATAATTGTATATTTTGTTATGGGAAGGTAATTTCTGGTGTATTTCTAGAAATACTTTTTCTGTAGAACACTTGCAGTAAGGCTGTCCTTACAGTATACAATGACTCATTTTTTCTGGGTTAAAATAATTTCTTTTTTTAATTCAATGTCATTAAGTGCATGAAGAAATGAAAGTTTCTCTAGATTTTACACCACACTTTTAGGAAGTAGCTTAATTTTTTTAAAAGAAAATAAGTGACAAAGCTGATTCTACTCCTCTGTTAACTTGTTTTTGAACTGCAGATATTTCTAGCATATAGACCACAGAGCTAGAATGGAGTCTGGACAGCTAGTTTTTCCCCACTTCCTTGCTCTTTAAAACCAGCTGCTGAAAATTTCATGTCTTTGATGTATGTATTTATTAGTCTGTGACCCAGTTTTTAACATGCAGCTTTTTATTCTGTTTTTAAAAATACATTTACCTCCCATTTACACATATTGTGAAGTCTTCATTTTTTTAACCATTGTAAACTGGAAACAGCAAAATAATTATTTGTAAGTTAAGAAGTTTAATCTATAACCTGCAGAAACCTGTTTAGAAGTAGGTAATTTGTATATCCCAGGAACTCATCAGAATGCAATCATAACTGCACCAGTAATATGACAACTTAAAAAAAGAAAAATTGCTCATTTCAAGGGCACTAAGCCTGAATTGCCAAAAATAGTCACTTGCTGGGTATTAATTGCTCTCCTCTCAGAAGTGGAAAGCTCTTGTACGGACGAAAAGTTGTTAAACCTTCTTTCCTGTGTGTTACACCTGCTTTCACCCAAGTTGTTGTGTCTCTCAGATTTCATTGCCTTTGGCTTTACACGTGTGATGGTCTTCATGAAGCTAATTAGGTAAGTTGCTCTCAAATGTGCTTTCATTTACTTTGACGATTACTTCGGTGTTTTTCATGAAGGTGTAGACACTTCTGCGTTATGTAAAAATGTAAGATAGAAGGGAAATATTGTGAGATCAGTTTGATCGACTGGTGTATAGAAGGCATTTATAAAAACACTTTTTAGTACATGATGTTTAGGAGCGGATGAGACAATGTCCAGTATCTACTTGCATGGCATGTGTCCGAACACATCTCTTGACTCGTGCCCATCCAGGTATCACCTGTGCTTTCTGAAGAGCATCTCAGAGATCTTCCCTGTTCCCTTTGCAAATGATAAAGGCAATGCTTCGTGACATGGGAATTCACCTGACAAAACCAAATCAGTGCACCACCGCTGGAGCTGTTGGTTCCTGTCCCTCCACTCCACCGCCCCTTGCCTGTGCAGTACTGGACATCAGATCAGCGAGCTGGTCTGTGCTTTGAAGTCAAGTCAAGGGTTACTTTTAGACCCACATTGGGTCAGAGATCCAGTTTGGAGTTGTGCCAGTGCATCTGTGGAGGCAGCGGAGTGGGGCGTAGATCCCTTCAGCCAGCTTCACAGCCAAAGCCTGTGTATCACGAAGCTGTAATTGGAGTTACTGTACCTCAGCCCCAGCATCTCTGGGGGTCAGTAGATACTTGGGGTGTTGGAGACTTTGATGTAAACCCACTTCTGGCCAACCATGAATCCCTAGGAGATGTGCTGCTTCGTTGTTGCTCAAGTAGGAACCCGTTTTCAACTTCAAAAAATGATCAAGCCTGAAAATCACTTGTGTGTTAGTTGAAGCCTCTGGGTTAGTGTCTTGGAAGTAATGTGTGGAGGTGCAAACAATGCATTTTTGGTGGTATTATGGATAATAGTGAGCACTGCTGTGAGAAGGCGAGCAAGTCTGTGGCCTAGCGATCCCCTCAGAAAAGTCCAATTCTTCCAGAGGTTACTGCCTTTTCCAGATGCCAGAAGAACAAATGTTGCAAGCTGCAATAGACAGACTGTGTTAATTCAGCTTCGCTGGTGACTTGAGCCATCTTGTCTGTTTCTGATTAAAACCAGAAGTGCTCCCGTGGCCTTCTGCAAGCCCGACAAGGCTTTTGCAGTCATCATCTGACAGGCTTAGACTGACCTATTCTAAAACTAAAAGGAATTTAATTGTATGTGGTCAGATTTGCAAGCACTTGGGCGTCTGCATTTGAGATCAACCTTGTCTTGTTCACGTCGCAGAAATTCTCTTTGTGGCTGTAGCTGAGTCCGTGTATATGTTTGCAGGATCGAGGGAAAGCTGATCATACCATGTGCATTTTCTTGAGATCATGACTGCTATTAGATGAAATACACATTTTTAAGGGGCTCAGTCTATTGATGAATGAAGTCTGTTGATAATTTCCAGCAAATTATTTTTACCCATCTTTCTGAAGTGCTCATTCAAAAGTTGGTGTGTCTCTGAATTTTTTTTTTGATGACTTGGAAAGTATTAGCTCAAATTATCTTTTTTACGAAGTCACAAATACAAGCAATATATTTAAGTATTATTATAGACATAGTTTTTTAAGCTGTTTGAATGAACAATTAAAATTAAACTGTAAAGGAAGTATGTTCCATGCCAAAACCTTTTGACGAAGGAATAGTGTCAGGTTATTTATGAGGAATGAGTTCTCTTGTTTATAATTCCAGGATTTTAAAAAGTAAGAAGTTTTCCAGGGTTGTATGCAATCCATATCTGTCTTCTGGGAGTCAATAAAGTACTGCTTGGCTTCCTTCATTTGCTTGTTCCTTTTTGTGCAGTTAATATGTGGAAAGAAGTTGGGAGGCAGAGTTGTGGTTGCTGATGCTCCTGTAGTCCTCACAAATCACCCTCACCAAACAAGAATGGATAATGATGTATATTAATGGTGAGCAACTGCAAAAGATAAGACAACTCAGCTTCTGGCAGCTGCCAAATGTTGTGGCTGACCTTTCTGTTGGGAGCTGCGAGTCTCCCCGGCAGGTTGGGAGGCTGAGAGGTCTTGTCTGAAAAGCCTGGGCTGGGTGGATCAGAGCTGGCCTGCACAGGGATTGCAATGCTGTTCTGGGAGCTGCTTTGGTTCTTTTAATTATTTTTTTTCCTTTATTTTTGATTGAATATGAGTGTTTGTCTAAGGATCTTCAAAGGACTTAAAATAAAGAGTAACAACTTTAATGTTGATGAATACTTGAAATCTAATTTAAGGTGACGATCCAGATGACGGTCTAGCTATAATAAAGTTTGTAGGTTAGTAAAATAAATTATTTTAAATACAGATATATGAAATATATATGTCCTGCAGGATCGTTTTAAGAAAATTTGGGCCTAAAGGTTAACACTTGAAATATCACTTATGCCTGTACTCAGGACCTGGTAATAACTATAGTTTATTTCTTACCACTTGTGTGTGAAGTGTATCGTGTAGGTGCTTGTTAGCAACTGTTCTCCCCAAATGGCCTGGATGTCCACGTAGCTCTGGTGCTCACGGCTCCTCCTTGTGTAGCTAGTGATGGTAATCAGGACTCTGCGTACTTAGGGATGTACAGCAGCAGGGTTTCTGTACAGTTGACGATTTTGATCTTCTCATTTAGAGAAATCTTTTCATGCCTGGTTGCTGCATAGGAAACTCAGGAGAAGATATTTGTGTGTTGTTACTCTGCACATCCTCTAAATCTAAAATAACTTGCAGCTGGAAGTCTAAGGCTCTCAGAGCTGGTGTTGCATTTCATTGGTCCAGTTCTGCAATATCTAAAAGTGCGGTCAACCCAAGAGAAAAAAAAAAACCAAAATTCATCCCACTCTCTCAGTGAAAACGTGCATGAAATAAAGCTGTTGGTTTGCTTGGTAGCATGAAGCAGAGTGTGCGTCTCATGGAAGAGTAGTGCTGCCTTTTGAAACCAAGCTGTCTTTTTAAAAAATAACCAACCAGGAATTGAGAATCAATTCTAAGAATTACTCAGTTGTGGTCACCACATAATTGAGATTATTTTTCTGTCGTTCCTTAAATTAAGCTTTTAATGCTTGGAAGGTCCATGCTTACAGAGAAGCTGCGCTTTGAATTCTTTGCATTTTTATCATCATAAACTGTCCACTGTGAAAATTATCCCAAAGTTTACTGAAAAGGAAGAAGAGACGCAATTCAGGTATACGGTCAGAACAAAAATGTCTAATGTTATTTAAAACCTAAAAAACCCACAGAAATAAAATGTATAAAATATAATTATCCTGTCTCAGAATCACCGTGTGGTGGTGGTGTTTTTTTGTTGTTTTTTTTTTTTAATACAAAGTGATTTCAATTGAGTTTAAAAGTTTTCGTCTTCGCTTAGCACACTCCTGTTTGGAGAGGAATTGGTGTTTATCCCAGGGTTACCTAGAACTAACAGGCACAGGTTTTGAAAGGGACAAGAAGTGGATTTTGGAATGGAGACCGGACTTGGTGCCACGAGTCTGGTGCAGGGGCAAGTCCCCACCGCACCCCGCTCCAGTGGCCTTGGCTTGGTCCCTGTCCTGCTCGTGGCTCAGTGGTGACCGGTGTTGGCCCAATCTGATGTGCTGCATGTGACTGAATCAGGAGGAGGAGGAGAGAGAAATGGAAATTACTGCTTTCTCTGGTTCCTAAAGCAGAAATGATGGTGTGGGATGGGATTTCTGCTCCTTCCCTCTCTCTGCTGGAGAGGCCCTTGAGCAGGAGAAGGAGACAAGGAGCATGGGCCAAACGAATTGTCCGCTCGGCAGCAGACGCTCCCCAGCCACTGCCTTTCCCAGAGAAGTCACGGCACAGGCAGGCCTCAGCTGCATGTAAATCTGAGGCTTTTAAGGTGCATTGGGATTGCTGTCGTTCCTTTATGGAAACGACTAGTCTGGAGTATTTGCAACGATTTTGGGTTGACTCCCCAAGGAAAAAGGTTGTGTGGGTCTCTCTGGGGGGCAGACTGGGTATTTACAGCTGTAGGATGAGTGGTGTTTTATCACTGGGCAGGTGTTTGTCCCTAGAATACACCCGGATGGATAAAACTAAAGGCCCAGTTTTCCCTAAGTACATCTGCTAGCATCACATGCCTAAGCTGTTGCGGTGCTTCTGATAAAACAACTTCTTGCATTGCTTCTGTTGAGCTGGTGGTGGTAGGAACCGTCCAAACTGACAGGTGTTAAAGAAATCTCTTTACCCTAGGTCTCCCACAGTAGAGTCTCAGACTTCTGATCTTAGAAAAATAATTAATTTATTTGGCTGGTACAGCAGAATGACTTCTGTCATGACTTCAGTCTCTTCACGCGCTGTCCACGCGCCTCTTGGTCCAATGATAATTCGTGGTCTGGGGGCTCAGCTGTTTCTCTTTGGTTCTCCACCTCCGAACTCCTGACGGGCCGTTTGTTGTCCTTATCTTGATGGTTTGCCACTTCTGTTGACAAAGTTTCCTCCTTATCTTCTTGCAGACCCCCCCGTAGCCAAGCAACCAGGTCGGGATGAGTTTATGATGTGTGACCCGGAATTCCTTCTCCTGCTAACTAATGCTAACTGAAGTTATTCAGACAAAAGAATATATTTAGAAGAATAAAGTATAACTAAAATAT